CATTGGATGCAAAACTTTTACCAGACAAAAATAAAACAAACATAAATAACAAGAGGCTTTCACAAGGCCGATCCTGTACAGAACATTCCCCATTCATGCCAGTTCAAATTTAGACTATGCCATTCAGGAAGAGCTATTTTGAGTACTGAGGGACAGAGTGATTGATATGAAAATGTAATTTTTTTAATAGGAATTCAAAAAAAACCCAAAGGCCAATGGAGACACTTTCGGTTGTCCAGGTCACACCTTAGAATCTTTGGTTTAACAGGGGCAAATAATTCTCAAATTAAACTGGAAGCACATTTCACATAGCACATCCCAAATTGATCCCCTGTGCTTAATTTGTTGGTGACAGATTCCATGTGAATTCACAGTTTTTCACAATGGTTTTCACGTCAAACAACTATTTTGTGAATTGTCTGTTATTAGCAAATTAGAAAACAGGCATTTTGTCCTTCATGGTAATTTACACTTGGGATAGACTTTGTATCTTGGGTTGACATGTTGACATGTTAGGTGGTTGTGGTTCCTAATTAATGAAAACAAACTTGCTCTCGAAGGGCTCTAGTAGACTTGTTAGCAATTTGAAAATATTCAAAACATCATTCTTCAGAGAATGTAGATCTGCGTGTTTGATAAGTATATAAACACTATCTTCAAAGAGTCTTTGGAAAAATACCATATATTGTTTGAGGATCAGAGTGCTTAATGAATGTAATGCAATATTAAGTGGCACTAATATTCTCTGCAGAAAAAAAAAGGAAAAAGATAAATCATGCTTAATTTCCTGATAGATTTCGTAACTATACACCTGTGAAGTGTCTTCTAATCTTTTCTCTTGCTCCAGGTTGTGAAATATGATTCAAAACTCCTCTCAATATAACTTAAGCACTGAAAACATTTTTTGGACTACCAGTGTAACTGTTCAACAGCTGAAGATGGTAATTATCCAGAAGCTGATTGCGATTTTTCTCTGTGTGAACTGTTTCATGCTCTTCACTTTTTTCAAAAAAGAGGTTTTTCGGACAACCACACGCTACATTTTGTTTGCACACACCTTACTGAATGACTCAGTTCTTTTGTTATTCACAGACCTTGTGGCACTGCAGGTATATTTAAATATCCTGATTCCTGTGGAATTTTGTATTTTACTCTGCATGATTATGGAAATTCTCTCCCGCACAACCCGGTTTGTCATCACTGCGATGTGTCTAGAGCGCTATGTGGCCATCTGCCTGCCACTGAGACATGCAGACATTTCCACCCTGAGGACGACACTGGCTGGAATTCTCTTCATCTGGGCTCTTAGTTCCTTGTATGTCATTATTGATCTCTTCATTTTCACTGCTATAGCACCTCCAAGTTATTATGCAGAAGAGACATTCTGCCGCTATGAAATATTATTACTGACAGAATGGCACACCTATATGAGAGCCATTCTGTCAAATTTGGAATTTGCTGTAATAGGAATCATCCTGGTATTTTGCTACATTAAAATAACAACAGCAGCAAAAGCTGCTTCAGGAGACAATAAAAAATCCTCATCCAAAGCTCAAAAGACTTTGCTTCTGCACACAATGCAATTGCTCCTCTGCCTAATTGAGATGTTGTGTCCCTTTGTAGAAATAGTTGTTCAGGAGATTGACTTTCAGATTTTTGTAAATGTAAGATATTTCCATTTCATTGCTTTTACATTGGCTTCCAGATGTTTAAACCCTCTTGTTTATGGTTTACGGGATGAATTCTTTTTTGCCGCACTGAAATATTATGCATGTTTTAGATTAAAGAAAACTGTGTCTCCCCACTTTGTATACACATAGTGACAACTGTAAAACACTGTATCTGTGTTCTAACAAATTAACAATGCAATTATAACAATGCAAGGTTGTTCAGTGAGTAAAAGATTCTATCATCTTTAAAATTGCATTAAGCAAATTGAAGAATATAATTTTTCTATAATAAACCCAATTGATGAAATATTAGACTGTTTTTTAAAAAATACATGAAACTGCATTTGCAAACTAAGTGGCTTTAGTACACTTAACATAAATTTCATTTTAGTGCATTTAACCATATTACTTAGCTATAAATCTATTTTAATCTAATTAATAATCTAGTTGTTCTGAATACTGTGTCAGGAGTGAGGAGTGTTCACTGTCCATAATAGTTACAGAAGCTCACAAAATTATGCATAATTATTTATCATTTAATAAAAGTAATAAAAATAAACTTTACAATGACAAAAAAAAACAATATATAAAACATCAATAAATAGATCCTCAAGGAAATTATGAACACAATAATATATTTGTACTATTTGTACTATAATAACTCTAATTTGATGGAATCTTTTGAAATCCAATTATTTAAACTTAGTACAGGGGAGTTTCTCATTCGAGGACATTAAGATATAGAAAGTGTCCTGTAGCAGTGCTACAAAATATGATACACAGTAGAATAGCTCAGTTGCTGTTTAAAGAATCATTTGAGATCAGCTCAAGTTAAGCATCCTTACTTACATCAAAGCAATTAGCTTCCACCCCTTTTTTAACATTATGCACATCAAGATATTTATTTGTTTAAATATCTCATAACTTCATGTATCTATATAATTTATATTTACACTGCAGTGCGTTTCTCTTTGGTAGTCCAGCCTATGGTTTCCAGCCAGCACAGACAATCCATTCAGAAATATACTTCACATAAACCTTTGTGTTCATGTTTATTTTTTTCCTCATCCTCCTCCTTCTCCTCTTTTTTTTCTTAACAGGTTGCTGTTGCAATAAGACAAAACAAGAAAGTTTCAATTATTGTTTAATATTAGGAGCATGACCAGGGTTAGGGAAAGGTCATACGTAAGTGACAACTGGGAAATATATAAAACACTGTGCACATAATAAGTAACAGCAGAAAAAAATGTAAAATTAGGAAACAAGCACTATGAAGCACTAAAGACCTGTGTGGAGTATGTATTGTAGTGCAGATATCAGAAAACAGGCCAAGCAGTATGAATTAAGTTTGTTTTCATTAATTGGAAACCGTTAAGAGCTAGCATTGCAACCCAAGATACAAGGTCTAAAACAGTTTTAAACTGGTACATGAAATAACATTTCTGTTTCTTAATTTGTTAGCTACACAAACTTTGCTGTGCAAACTAGTGCTTTTAATGAAAATACTGAAAATCTAGGTGCCCCATTTATATAATAGAAAAAAAATTATAGATGTGGCTGGTTTTGTCCTTTTTGTAGTAGCTTTTGTAGAGACACAACAACAATCTTCAGAGGGGAGTTGTAAAAGGTGCTCCTATAATCACACTGTCAGCCCACCCTAACCAGGTACAAATATGCTGTTGTAAAGAGGTAGAGATTCATTGCAGACCACATGGGCAAATAGGATGCAGAGGGAAGACTCTCTGAAAATGGTTTTGCTCCACAAAACAAAAGAAAACAAAAAATCATGCTGACACAACTGGAGACATTTTGATTTTAAACACCCAATCCACGTTTATCTTGATCTTTTCCACTAAGTTCATCCCCTCTAATGAGATAATTGTCATCTTTGTTATCTCAATAAGGAGTTTCCTAATAATATTTGTATCAAAAAAGTCTATGGAAATCTTTTGAAAGCACGGGTCTTGATTCTCTCTGGAAATGGTGACAACATTAGTGTTTTGTTTTAAACAGTTTATTAATTTTGTTCTAAGACCAGCTTAAAAATGTGCTCTTCCTATAGCTTAATACATCTCCCCAGCCTCAGCCTTTGTCATTGCTCTCTTAATTTGCTCAAGAAAATGACATAATATGACAGGTGGCAAATTCGTCATTAAAAAACATGTGACCTCATCCTGGCGAGGTTTCAGCAAGCCTGGGCCTGTCCCAGAGCACGAAATGCCAGTCACAGAACTGGGCTTCCCCGGGATGAGAATCCAGTACAGTGCCATTACATTGTGTCCATTTTCCCTTATTAACACAAGGCAGATCATGGCACCTCTGTGTGTGTGATGAGCCTGCACAGACAGGTGGCAGAGGTGCTTTAATCAGCCCCAGTGGCTCTCATCTGGGGAAGCCTTAAGGGACTGGGAACACTGGAAACAGCAGGAGAATGATAACACTGTGTACAGACAATGGCAAGTGTCACTTTTTGTTACAAGGAGGGATATGTAATTTGAACAATTAATAGGTTTGTTCCATGCTGAATAGAGAAGAAAGAAAACACAACGTTTCGACCATGGAGCCTTCTTCAGGTATGAGTAAGACAGGGCAGTAAGCGAAGGTAATGTAGCACAAAAGAACAAAAGCTGGGAGAGAGGAGGAGCGGGAGGTAGGAGCAGGGGAGATGGGATATGTAATTTACTGAATATCGAGTGTGGAGATGTTATGTGTCTTCAGTGGCTTTGGCAACATGTTCAATATTAATATAGAACATTAAAGCAGCTCAGAATGCTGTGTGTATAACTCAGAAATGTAGTAAATCTTTTGATTTATGATTTTGAGCTCTTATTTCAGTTGTCATAAAGCTCAAATAACAACAATACCAAAATCAACAAGATTTGGGGACACATGGGGTACAATGATCAGCAGCCATGTCACCCTGCAACTCACAACTCACTGCAGGTGTGAGTCTGGTCAGTACGCGGATGGTAGACCTCCTGGGAAAGCTAAGGTTGCTGCTGGAAGAGATGAGTGGAGCCAGTAGGGGGTGCTCACCCTGCAGTCAGTGTGGGTCTGTTTGGGCCCTAAAGCCCCAGTATACTGACGGGGACACTGTACTGTAAAAAGGTAAACAACAGTTCAATTAAGCAGAGGATCAACTACATTGTGTAATCATTCATAGCCACTCAGGGACGCCAAACATGTAACGTTGCCATAGCAAAATTAAATGTAGTGGCTCTCTGAAGGCACCAGTTCTGTAGGGTTTGGGCATTTACTGAGACAATTATTAATTGTAGCAGTAAATCACAAAGTTGATTCTTTTGATG